GTGTTTGTATCAGCTTAAGTGGATAAAGCTTAATTGACCATATCATGTATTGACATCCTTTTTTCTTGTTATTAACCAAGGCTTGCAGAAAATATTTTGTCTGTGATTGATTAGTATTTTGCTCGATAGCAGCAGCAGAAATGGTTTATTGTAAAGGGCCAAAGAAATGACAAAAGTCTGAATGAATCATGAAAGTTTTATTTTGTTGTTCTTATGGAACTCATCTTTTTCTTGTGGAAATTTTTTTTTTTTTTTTTTTTAAATGCTTGACCTGTTGAGGACTTCTTGCACAGCAGCCTGTGACACTTCTTTAAAGAAAGATTCATCATTAAACCTCTGAGAACACAAATGAAAGATGTTTATTATCCTGCTTGCCAGCACCTTGTTTTTGTTTTAGTGCATGACAACTTTGAAGTTGTCCAAATTCAATGAAACAATGAAACTGTGTCAAATCATCAGCTAAAAATGTTTAAACAGGTAAAATTATAACATTTTCATTTCAGTCAGTTAACAATGTAACTAAGGCTGATTCATTAGATGAAAAATCTTCTTTCTAGTTCTTTTATTATGCAGCAGACATTTCTTATAGTTTGATGCGGTTTAATCTGTTTTTTTTTTTTGTTTTTTTTTACACTTCATTCTCAGAGATTCAGTGATCCAGCAAATCAAACAGGATTCATTTTCATTTTGTTTTAATTTTCAGCTGAAATGTTTAATGATTAATTACTGTCATAATTTTTTTTATTAATGTCAGATAGATAGTTTGAATGAACAAAATGGAAACAACATTGCAGACAAAATTAGAGTGATGCGAGTATCAAAAAGTTTATTTGCTCTTTTAAAAACGCTCCTAGTCGCTCAGCAGGATGGCAAAATGCCTTTTTAAAAATTATTTTATAACATTTATACCAAAAAGCAACTACATAAATGGTGTCTAAGCTATAACCAAGTCAACGTTTATAAGTCGCCACATACAAACATATAAAAACAAGTACATGAACATCTGAATAGTCTGTCCAAGAGACTGAGATTTCCTGGCTCATCACCATCCAACAGTGGAATAAAAGGAAATCGTGTTGCAATCATAAAGAGTTGTGATATTCATGTGAGACTGAGTCAATAAGAATTAATGATGAAGTAAAACAACTTACAAAGTGAATGAAGCATGAAGAAAAGTATATTCATACATGATGGAGTTGGATCCTGTCAAGGTACAAATAGAAGAGAAGAAAATGTAACCATTGGAATGAAACTTATGGATGGAATTAGTTGTCATTCGTCTAGTTTACTGCGATGGGTATAGAGCATAATCAGATCCAGGCCTGGGAGTTCACAATTGGAAATTACTGCAAGAAAGGCCAGAGGATCAACCACTGCCAAATGCTGTGGACACAAATTGGATTTACATCTTTTGGCTTTTTTTTTCCTGGTCATTTTTGTCGTGTTTAATAATAATAATATTTAAGGATTTAGAATTCTTCCTATTGGATTATATTGACATGGATCAGATATAAGTGCATCTTCAGGCTTGGATGTTCCCACCCTCCTCTTAAGTTCAGTATTAGCAATCAGCCTTAGCTCAGAGTTAATTAGATAAGTATATTTAAAGTGTTTGCATTATGTGATTATTATTCGATGCAGGTTTTGCTTTGCCCTCTGCTAAATTACTTTAATAAAACCTCCTGCATTCAAAAAGTCAAAATTGTTGACATTCCTTTTTTAACCCTTCTGAAGCAGTAAAGATAAACTTGTGTACAAGTAGGACATCTAGTTAAGGGTTCTTACATCCTACTTTAGCCTTAGGCATGGCTGTAGCTCAGGACATAAAGCAGGTCATCTGATAATCAGAAGGTTGGTGTTTTAATCCTTCGCTAGTCTGTATGCCAACTATCTTTATATACTAACCCCAAGTTGATCTCTGATGCATTAATAAATGTGAATGGTAGATAGAAAGCATTTAGATACACTTCCACAGAAATAAAGTTCTTGGATGAATGTGGCAAGTTGTGCTTTAAGTCCACAGAGCAGAAAAGCACTGTGTAAGGCCATTTAAAAAGGAACACATCCTTGGGGCCTATTTTCCCACCCACACAAATTTAACCTAGTTATCAAACACATGCATACACTAACAGTCAAAAGTTTGGACACACCTTCTTATTTAATAGTTTTTCTTTTCTACAAAATATATAAAGTAAGATGTATGAAAATATGTAGCAGGAAAAAAGATAAATAACTCTAAATATATTTTAGATTCCTGAAAGTAGCTACCCTTTGCTTTTTTTGACAGTGCTGCAAACAAACACTTGGCCTTCTCTCATTGAGCTTTGTGAAGTAGTCACCTGAAATGGTTTTCACTTCACAGGTGTGCCTTGTCAGAGTTCATCTGTGGAATTTCTTGCCTTCTTAATGGGGTGGGAACAACAGTGGTGTTGTGCAGATGTCAGGTTGGTACACAGCTAACAGCCCTATTTGACAGCTGTTACAATTCATATATGGCAAGAAACAATCAGCTAAGTAAAGAGAAACGGCAGTCCATCATTACTTGAAGAACTGCAGGTCAGTCAGTCCGGAAAATTTCTAATCCATCCAGTCCAATCCAACTTTATTTATAAAACACTTGAAAATAGCCAGCACAGGACCAAAGTGCTGTACATTAAATAAGTTAAGAACAATAGAATAAAACAAAACAGAAAAAAATGAAACACATAATACATAAAATTCAAATTAAAACAGCCCAATTAAAAAAAAAAAAAGATAACATAGAATCAACTAATAAAAGCTAATAAAAATAAACAAAAAGCCAGCATCTAAAACGACATCTGTTTAACTGTCAGGTGATTCAGGAAGGGAAAGCAGTGGTCTACCTGCTCTGTGTATAGTGCGGGTGGAGCACTGCTGACTTTGACTGAGAACATTGTGGGGCGTGGAAGGAATACTTCGAAGACCTTCTTAATACCATTGGCATGTTTTCCATGGAGGAAGCAGTCTGGGGATGAGGGGGACAACTTATCTATCTCTGGGGTTGAGGTCACTGAGGCAGTTTAACAACTCCTTAGTAGCAGGGGCCCCTTGGGTGGATGAGGTTCACCCTGAGTTCCTCAAGGGAATGTTGTAGGGCTGTCTTGGCTGACATGCCTCTTGCATGGATATCAGGGACAGTACCTCTGGATTGGCACACCAGGGTGGTGGTTCCCATCTTTAAGAAGGGGACCAGAGGGTGGGTACCAACTATAGGAGATCACACTCCTCAGCCTCCCAGGGAAAGTCTATGCCAGGGTGCTGGAAAGGAGAGTGCATCTGTGAGTCGAACCTCGGATACAGAAGGAACAATGCAGTTTTCATCCTGGTCATGGAACACTGGATCAGTTCTTTATCCTTTAGAGGATAATTGAGGGTGCATTGGAGTTTGGCCAACCAGCCCACATTCAATTCAGTTCAATTCAATTTTATTTATATAAATCACAACAAAAGTCGCCTCAAGTTGCTTTATATTGTACAGTAGATACATGTGCTTTGCAGACTTGGAGAAGGCATTGCCGGTGATAAGTTGGATTCGTTTCTGGTGGGTGATGGACTGTGCCAGGGCTGCTCTTTGTGACCGATTCTGTTAATAATCTTTATGGACAGAATTTCTAGGCATAGCCAAGTGGTGGAAAGCTTTCACCTCTGCTTTTCGCAGATGATGTAGTTGTTGATGATGTTGGCTTCATCGGGTGATGGCCTCCAGCTTGCACTGGAATGGTTTGCAGCACCTCCAAATTTAAGGCCACGAAAAAGGGTGGAGTGCCCACCCAGGGACAAGTTCTGGCCCCCTGCTGACTAATGCACAGCTGGAAGTAGAGGTAGAGGTCCCTAGGAGAATCTAATGTTTAGTTTTTGCACATAATTACTCTTTCTTAAAAGACTATTATTTTTCATTATTTTTTTTATTTCATTACTCTTTTGTACTTTTTCAGGAAACAACTGAGTCAGTGGCCAGCATCTAGTGATCTAGAAGACATAGGCTCAGATACTCCTGTGGTATCCTGAAAGCTATGTGTGGCTTATAAAAACCTACAGCCAAGAAGAAAGGAACATAATCACCTGCAACAGACTGGCGACCTGTGCAGGGTGTATCCCGCCTCCTGCCCTGTGTTCTTGGTAAAAATACCTGCAATAGCTTGTGAATTATTTATGTCTGATCCAAACCAATAAGCCACATTAAACAATGGAATTGTTAAGCATAAGGAATTTATACTACTTAACAAATTAACAGCATAAACAACCATAGAAAAGTGCATAAGAACTTTAGTGCTTATGACAATGCATCATGTGACAGTCAAATGTGCATGAGCACGATAATAAAAGCTGCTGAGTCAGATGACAGAAACAGAAGTAATAGGAAGTAATAAAAAAGATTTTTACAAAACATCAGCCCAAGGAGGATCACATTGGTAGTGAATAATACAAATGACTTATGATCATTCACTTATGAACTTCACTAAGCAACAAAATGGAAGACAACAATAAAGCTATCATAAATAAATATAAAACAGTGTAAAACAAAAACATAAATTATCAACGTTAGAAATTTCGTATCAGATTTTTTCATCAGCAGCATCTTCAACTGTTTCTGATCCTCTGTTTTGTTTTGTTTTGTTTTTTAAAAAGGTTTTCTACAATTCTCACACTGATCAGATCACCACATTTTAGTCTACCATAAACTTTAAAGTCTAAAGGTAACATTATAAAGGTTTCAGGTGACATCCCATTCTGTATGAAGGTTATAAAAGTAAATAGCAGCGTGTTAACAATTAAAATTTAACCAGACGTTAAGACGTAGATGAAATTCACTGCAGATTATGAATCTTATTATCGATCCTGACTGCTGGAGCCAGGATGCAGTTAGAGGGGTTTATAGCTCAAGTGAGTTGACCTTGTTTCAAGAACTGGAAGGGACAAGCTGAAAGAAAAACAATTTGGTGAGTTCTTTGTTTAGGAGAAATTTGATAACAGAGAAAATGGCAGACAGACGCACATTTCTAAGAAGATACCTGCATTGCAATCTGTGTTCAAAGATTTTCAGAGACCCTGTGTCTCTGGGCTGCAGCCACAGTTTCTGTTTTAGCTGCCTGAAAACATTCTGGGAACAAGAAAAAGACAGAAATTGTCCCATTTGTGAAAAAAAATCCTCAAAAGAAGAAACTGGTGTGAACGTTGCTCTGAAGGAGCTGGCTGATTCTTTTGCTGGGAGACAGAAAAGTGAATCATTCAGAAGAGGAAAACAGGAGAAGGGATGGGATGGGACTTGTTTCTGTAAAGACAGTAATGGCCCGCAGTTGTTCTGTGTGGACGAGCAGAGAATTGTTTGTACTGTCTGTGACTTTCCTCATTACCAGAGTCACAAAGTGGTTCCTGTAGAAGAAGCAGTCAGTGTCCTAAAGAAACATCTAAAATCTGACTTAAAGTCTCTGCAGGACAAGAGGAACAAATACAAAAAAGTGGAGAAAACATACAATGAAGTGATTCAACACTCCAAGAAGCAGCTGTTGTCCACAGAGAGGCAGATCAGAGCAGAGTTCAACAAGCTCCAGCAGTTCCTGAAAGAGGAAGAGGAGTCCAGACTGGCAGCTCTGAGGGAGGAAGAGGAGCAGAAGGGGAGGACTATCAGCAGAGAGATGAAGATGATTAAGGAGCAGATCTCCTCTCTGTCAGACAGCATCTCTGCTGTTGAAGAAGAGCTGCAGAAACACAGCGTGCCATTCCTCAGCAGTTATAAAGACACTCAGAGCAGAGCCAGAGCCCAGAGCTCAGTGTCAGATCCACAGCTGGTCTCAGGAGCACTGATAGATGTGGCCAAACACCTGGGCAACCTGTCCTTCAGAGTGTGGGAGAAGATGAAGGAGAAGGTCCACTTCAGTCCTGTCATTCTGGATCCAAACACTGCACACCCAGTTCTCTGTCTGTCTGATGATTTGACCAGTGCGAGACATGGAGACACAAAACAGCAGCTTCCTGATAATCCAGAGAGAAACACTATGTATGCCGATGTTTTTGGCTCTGAGGGCTTCAGCTCAGAGAAACACAGCTGGGAGGTGGAGGTGGGAGACCATTTCAGCTGGAATATAGGTTTAATTAAAGCATCAGTTGACAGGAAAGGAGAATATCCTGTTTCACCAATAAATGGAATTTGGTGTTTAGTGCATCGCAATGGAAAATATAATAATGGTGACGGTCAGACTGTGACAGTGAAGAAGAGTCTCCAGAGGATCAGAGTCCAGCTGGACTATGACAGGGGGGAGGTGTCCTTCTATGACCCTGAAGACATGACTCACATCTACACTCACAGAGACACTTTCACTGAGAAACTCTTGCCATACTTTTGTATTTTTAATGTTGATGATGCAAAGATTTCAGATATCAAAATCTGTGAAACTAAGACTAATTGTAAAGATTAACACCTGTCAATGATTAATTTAGCTGTGATTTTGTGATTATTTGTGTGTAAGATTTTAGTTATTTTGTAAAAAGAAATATTGTTTAGAAGTTTAATATTATAGACACATTTAGATGAGATTCTCTGAGATGATTAGAGATGATTCACAAAAGCCACCAAAAAAAGTTTTTTAAAGATTTGAGACTTTAAGGATTTAATTGTTTTCTATATGGAAATTTGTTTGTATATTCATGTCAGAATATTTGCCATGTTGTTAATTCTTTTATATTTTTTAATTATAATCTGTTGACCTTAGCAGGATTTAAGTCTGAACACTGTATATACTGGAGCATATTGCAGATTTAAAAAAGAATAATTTTCATACAAAACCATCTGCGATAGTTTCCTCTGTTCTTAATCGATTATCATGGAATATTTGCTTATAGTCCAGTTAATTCATTTTCTATTCATATTGTGAAAAACCACACAATCATATTGAAATTGTGAGGTACTTTACACTATGGCACCTAAGCTGCATGCATCTCAATCGTGAAGACTGTCTAAAACACTTCAGTGACTTATTAATATGTTTTATTAGTAGCATTATACGAACATTTTAACAAATAAACATTTGTTGTTTCTATACATGTTTCTATACATTTTCTTCCAGTAATGACCATAAGACGGAGCCAAAATTGACATTATGTTCACGGCTTTGTTTGGGTTTTTTTCCTCTTCCATTTTTCTTTAATCTCAGGGGAACTCTATAAGCACTTATCTTTATTTGTCTGGTGATATTACCAGCATGAGACATGGAGACATAAAACAGCAACTTCCTGAAAATCCAGCGAGACACAATTATTATAAACTCTGTTCTGGCCGCTGATAGCTTCAGCTCAATGAAACACAGCTGGGAGGTGGGAGACCATCAAGAAAGATTTAGCAAAGGAGAATGACTCCTTCACTAATGGGGAGTAAAATCTTTTACTAGAATCTGAAATCTGGTATTTGAAACATTGCAGTGGAAAATATACTTATTATCTGCATGTTCAGGTAATTAAATCTGATAGGCAGGTTAATGTATATTAGTGTAGAATAAGTACATTTTTGTGTGTGCTGCAGGTTTCTGCTGCCTCTGGTGACATCATAAAATACAAACTCAACAGATCACCACATTTACAAACTGTTTCTGTGCAGTTTGTCACACATCACAGAGCTAAGCTGGTTAGCTTGTAGCACTGTGGTGAAATTTACAATGACGCATTATGCTGGACTGATACAGAGCAGCCTGTGAGTAGCAGACATCAGTTTTATTTAAAGTGATGATCGTGATTAGATTCACTTACCAAATTTTGAACCACCATTAATTAATACTTCAACCTTGAACGTGATCAATCTCTCTTTATTAAAAAAACTACATACCACAGGCATTTAAGATGGCAATAATTAAACCATTACACAAAACTCCATCATTTCTCCCAGCTGTCTTAGCTAATTATCTTTCCTGAAAATCAGTTTGTTCTCATGTGTGTTCGGTCACATAATAGCACAGGATTTGAACTGAACAACAAAGAAAACATCCATCCATCTATCTTCTTCTGCTTATCCAGAGCAGCATCCCAAGCAGAGAAGCCCAGAACCTCCTCTCCCAGCCAGCTCCTCCAGCTTGTCCGGGGCAATACCAAGGCATTCCCAGGCCAGCCGAAAGATATAATCTCTCCAGCATGTCCTGGGTCTGCCCCGGGGCCTCCTCCCAGTAGGACATGCCCGGAACACGGCACCCAGGAGGCGGGGTGTCAGTTTTTAAAACTTGTACGTATTGATGTTAACTTGAAGCGCTGAATTAATTATGTTGTCTGTTCAGTTCAGTTCACTTCAATCTGTAAAGCGCCAAAGCAAATGAAATGATGGTCTTTTTTAAGGCGCTTCGTGCTCCTGGAAAAATAATGTGTCCATAGAGTTTCTAGAAATATTTTGCAGTAGATATCACGAAATCACCACACAGGGGAAACGTTGTTTCATGCTCTAGACCCCACAAAAAAATTATGCACAGATGAGAAAAACGTATGTATGAGACTTGGTTCCCTGGATACATTGTTTGTCTTTCTTTTGAAAGTTTCAGCAATTGCTTCATCAAGTATTACGTGGTGGTAATTTTAAAATTTACAGTGCACTTTATAATCCGGTGTGCCTTATTTATGAATTCTGGCTGTGCTTACTGACCTTGAGCTGATTTTATGTAGGACACGGCACTGAAAAATCTGTCAAAAATGTTTTAGTACTACTTTGGTAAGCTACGAAGCCGCACCGTTTGATGGATTGTCGGAGCATTACGGCTACCATAAACTGTGTCCCAAAATGTAGGCTGCATCCTCCTGAGGCCGCATTTGTAGGCTGATTACGTCACAGCAACGCGACGAAGGCTGTCCCAATTTGTAGACTCCTCCAAATCCGGCCAACAAATGCGTCCTCCTTTTCCCCAGAATTGAAGGATGGGTCGGGTGTGTCCTTCGTGGCCTACCATACAGAATTCATAGCGCGGCCCAGTCAATTCAAGTTTCCAACAATGGCGCCCGCTACTAAGTTTTAATATTATTCTAATTAATCTTTCTGGGTTTCAAAATAAACTTTTAACATATTTTCAGGCGAGAAAGTAGCTGTGTAAACTTCAAATATCTGATTGGTTTATCAAGACATCGCATATTTGCAAAAGTGCTCCGACATTTTCGGAGACGTCTGTTACCCACCCGATAGCTACTCGGGGGCTTCAATGGTCACTAGAGCCGGTGAGAACAGCAGAGTCCCAGCTTCATCGTTTTCAGACCCCCGCGGTCTTTCGCTACTCAGGTTAAACATGATATGTAAGTCACTCAGATAACTTAAAAATTTTGTTTGGCTTTTTTCAGTGTGTTTTTTGTTTGGAGTAAATCGGTTTGGCTCAGATCAAAGTTATTAGATTACATTAGATTAAAGAAAACTTTATTAATCCCTCGAGTGCGTTCCTCCAGGCTTTTCACACAGCTGAATAAACGTCAATGTGAGGTAGCATAACATAAGCAGCATGGAAAGTGACAGGAAGACAGCATCTCCAGACTGTTCAAGTTTCTTTTAAGTGTTCTTTATTTTGTGGTGTCGCCTTTCAACAATTGTTTCACAAAAACATAAAAACCTGGCAGTCAAACTCTCACCCGCTTTATATAGAATTCCACTCACACCTGGATCTCATTAACCTCTACCATTGGGAAAACAGGGTAGACTAAATAACACAGTCTAGACAAAGAAACAGTAATAAAATAATTTTTCCACTTAACAAACTCATTCACCCAACTAAAGAGTTTAAAAAGTCAATCTCTTCACTTAATCTGACTCATGAGGTTATTTTAAATGAAATAAACAATTTTACACAAAATAAACACCCCTTGATTTGGTTACACCCAACTGACATGATCAATGACATCATATCCTATAAAATCAGGAAGTACTGGGGCGGCCCTTCCCACATACCTGTTTTACACATAGGACCTGCTCAAAGGAACACACAATGGTAAGTATAAGCAAACCTCATAAACAAATGAAAGATTCAAATCAATTAATGATGAAGTGACATTTAGCTTTAAGAACATTTGCACAGATGAAATGAATATAACCAATGCTACCACAAACAGACCCGGGATAGTATGTAGAGCCAAGGTTACATGTGCTGTGTTTACATTAAAGCATTATGATACAGTGGGGCAAAAAAGTATTTAGTCAGCCACCGATTGTACAAGTTCCCCCACTTAAAATGATGACAGAGGTCAGTAATTTGCACCAGAGGTACACTTCAACTGTGAGAGACAGAATGTGAAAAAAAATCCATGAATCCACATGGTAGGATTTGTAAAGAATTTATTCATAAATCAGGGTGGAAAATAAGTATTTGGTCAATAACAAAAATACAACTCAATACTTTGTAACATAACCTTTGTTGGCAATAACAGAGGTCAAACGTTTACTATAGGTCTTTACCAGGTTTGCACACACAGTAGCTGGTATTTTGGCCCATTCCTCCATGCAGATCTTCTCGAGAGCAGTGATGTTTTGGGGCTGTCGCCGAGCAACACGGACTTTCAACTCCCGCACAGATTTTCTATGGGGTTGAGGTCTGGAGACTGGCTAGGCCACTCCAGGACTTTCAAATGCTTCTTACGGAGCCACTCCTTTGTTGCCCGGGCGGTGTGTTTTGGATCATTGTCATGTTGGAAGACCCAGCCTCGTTTCATCTTCAAAGTTCTCACTGATGGAGGAGGTTTTGGCTCAAAATCTTCACGATACATGGCCCATTCATTCTGTCCTTACACGGATCAGTCGTCCTGTCCCCTTGGCAGAAAAACAGCCCATAGCATGATGTTTCCACCCCATGCTTCACAGTAGGTATGGTGTTCTTGGGATGCAACTCAGTATTCTTCTTCCTCCAAACATGACAGTTGAGTTTATACCAAAAGTTCTACTTTGGTTTCATCTGACCACATGACATTCTCCCAATCCTCTGCTGTATCATCCATGTGCTCTCTGGCAAACTTCAGACGGGCCTGGACCTGCACTGGCTTCAGCAGCGGAACACGTCTGGCACTGCGGGATTTGATTCCCTGCCGTTGTAGTGTGTTACTGATGGTGACCTTTGTTACTTTGGTCCCAGCTTTCTGCAGGTCATTCACCAGGTCCCCCCGTGTGGTTCTGGGATCTTTGCTCACCGTTCTCATGATCATTTTGACCCCACGGGATGAGATCTTGCGTGGAGCCCCAGATCGTGGGAGATTATCAGTGGTCTTGTATGTCTTCCATTTTCTGATGATTGCTCCCACAGTTGATTTTTTCACACCAAGCTGCTTGCCTATTGTAGATTCACTCTTCCCAGTCTGGTGCAGGTCTACAATACTTTTCCTGGTGTCCTTCAAAAGCTCTTTGGTCTTGGCCATGGCGGAGTTTGGAGTCTGACTGTTTGAGGCTGTGGACAGGTGTCTTTTATACAGATGATGAGTT